CATATAGCATCATATAGCATCATATAACATCATATAACATCATATAGCATCATATACTATCATACAGCATCATATAGCATCATATAACATCATATAACATTATATAACATCATATACTATCATATAGCATCATATAACATCATATAGCATCATATAACATCATATAGCATCATATAGCATCATATACTATCATATAGCATCATATAGCATCATATAGCATATATCATATGCTATCATATAGCATCATGTACTATCATATAGCATCATATAGCATCATATAACATCATATAACATCATATAGCATCATATACTATCATATAGCATCATATAGCATCATATAACATCATATAACATTATATAACATCATATACTATCATATAGCATCATATAACATCATATAGCATCATATAACATCATATAGCATCATATAACATCATATAACATCATATAGCATCATATACTATCATATAGCATCATATAGCATCATATACTATCATATAATAATAATAATAATAATAAACTTAATTTAAAGAAGATGCAATTATACAAAAACCAGTTTAGCAACGCTAATCTTACACTGGGCCTTCTGTTCAACTGTTATCGTCTACTTATTACAAATTTACTATTAAAACTACACATTAAATTGGACATCAGTACAACAAAAACATATAAAAGTCGTACAAACAAATAACTTCACATAGCATCATATAGCATCATATAGCATCATATAACATCATATAGCATCATATAGCATCATATACTATCATATAGCATCATAAGGCATCATATAGCATATATCATATACTATCATATAGCATCATATAACATCATATACTATCATAAAGCATCATATAGCATCATATAGCATCACATAACATCATATGGCATCATATACTATCATACAGCATCATATAGCATCATATAGCATCATAAAGCATCATATACTATCATATACTATCATATAGCATCATATACTATCATATAGCATCATTTACTATCATATAGCATCATTTACTATCATATAGCATCATATAACATCATATAGCATCATATAGCATCATATAGCATCATATAACATCATATAACATCATATAACATCATATAGCATCATATACTATCATATAGCATCATATACTATCATATAGCAACATTTAGCATCATATACCATCATATACTATCATATAGCATCATATACTATCATATAGAATCATATAGCATCATATAACATCATATAACATCATATAGCATCATATAGCATCATATAACATCATATAGCATCATATACTATCATATAGCATCATATAGAATCATATACTATCATATACTATCATATAGCATCATATGGCATCATATAGCATCATATAACATCATATAGCATCATATACTATCATATAGCATCATATACCATCATAAACTATCATATAGCATCATATACTATCATATAGCATCATATACTATCATATAGCATCATATAGCATCATATAACATCATATAATATCATATAGGATCATATACTATCATATAGCATCATATAACATCATATAACATCATATGCTATCATATAGCATCATATAGCATCATATAGCATCATATAACATCATATAGCATCATATAGCATCATATAGCATCATATAACATCATATACTATCATATAGCATCATATACTATCATATAGCATCATATACCATCATATACTCTCATATACCATCATATACTATCATATAGCATCATATAAGATCGTATGGCATCATATAGCATCATATAACATCATATAACATCATACAGCATCATATACTATCATATAGCATCATATAGCATCATATACTATCATATAACATCATATACTATCATATAACATCATATACTATCATATAGCATCATATGAAATTATATGTTTTAAATGGATGTGTTTTTTTTAGTATTTTAATTTGCAAATTTAGTAAAGTTTCCCAAACTTTTCTATATTTTTAACTCCGTTTAAAGACTATTTTAAGAGAAAAGTTAGTGATGTTTAATTTCACATAGAGGAAGTTACTCTATTAACTACAGTATAGGTGATTTACAGCTTGTCATATTTTGTAAATTTACATTATTACATATCTGTTGTACCTGTTGATAATAAAGACGTATATGAGTAATCTCAACATGCCTTGTTTAATTAAAGATGGCCTTAGAGGGGCGACATATTGAAAAAGGTATTCTGGATTGTTTGAAATTCCGTCAGTCATTCGATATGTCAAACTTCGCGACCGCGCAAAATCTTTCTTAAATGGCACGCTTACATAAAACAATGTGAAATATGCATGCAATAAATATACGGTAGACATATAAAAATCTGCTTTTTTCTTAATTTTTCACAAATTTTTCCCTAACGTTTTCCCTAACCCTAACCCAGGAAAAATTCAGTTAGAGACTCTGAAATGCCATTTCCCCACATCAGAAGGGGATCTACAAAGTTCAAAAGGTGACAAAATGTTATAAAATATCTCGAATTGTTTTCTCTGCACGCGTAACTGAGATAATATCAATTAACTATGTGGTTTAATACGGCCGGACAATTAGAAAAGTGACGGGGTGGGGGTTGATAAAAACAAAAATAGGTACGCGACGCGTACATGTATCTGCGAAAAAACTTGATTCACATTTTGTATTTTCTTGAAAGAAACTGAATAATTAACTAAATGAAGATGACATGGCAAGTGCTCCCCCACCACCCCTGCACCGAGAAAATTTAACTAACTTTATAATGTGATTATGATTGTAACAGATAATTATGCAGTCAGGAAATAAAAATTTCATGCAAACAATATTCAAAGTGTCTATACAGCCGGCTATTTAGTAAACTGTCACCTGTCAATTCAATCCATACTCATCAAATTTTCAAAACTTTATTGTAATCATATGAAGCCAAAGTTATGTCACTTGTTGTTTACACTTGCCAATGTTAACTGTTGAGTAACATACACAAAATATTTGGTGAACATGTCGAAGACCACTGAATAATTGAGAATGATTTGAAGGTCACAAGTGAAGTATATAATTAAATTCCAGTTCTGTGCACAGTTAATGATATACCACACTGTTCGGTTTAACACGTACAGCACATTCACACAAAAACAATTGTGTTGTGGGAGATTATCGGTTTGAGTAGAAGGTATCACAAGTTTAGTTTTGTACATTGTGTGCCATATTGATCAAATCCACCATATAATATATGATTATTCATTGTACAGTAGCTGTTAATTTAAGTTATTTTCCATGAATTTAGGTAAGATTGTCTTGCAAGTTGGTTGTTCTGACAAAATTATCCAGAATATCCAGTACATTTATTCTTCATTCTTGTATTAATCTCTAAAGAAAAATGTTTATGTTAGAAAGCAAAATGACAATGTAATGAGGCTCAGGAGGGTGAAGCGAAATTCTCTTATTTGAAAATGTTTGTAAAAAATTTGTTTAATTAACTCTAATGTGTAAAACCAAATAAAATGTATAAGTATTTTAACTGATATCATCTTCAACCTTTGCTCTAACACTACATTTGATGACAGCTTTATAGTTGGACTGTTGTTTTGAACAGAGTTATGGAGTCAATATACAGAAATACAGGACCAGGATTTAATTCAATATCTCTGTCCAATAGGTTCCTTTGATACTGTTAATTGGCAATATTGCCTGCTATGTTTTCACTGTTTAAAATATTACAGAAGTCATAGAAGGATTGTTTTTAATACTGTATAAATCTTTTTGTGAACTATGTTGATAAATAGCTTAAAATATCCTCGAAAATATCCAATATTTTATACAGAGTAATATATTAATAAAAAAATTCCAGAGTGCATTCCATGTAAACTCTACGCCGAAGAACGGCAATATTAACTATAGATAGTATAGTAAATATTTGCCGAACTGGCGAACTCGTGTATTATAAAATATGTGGGACATATATTTGCACAAATTTGGTATTTAAATATATAATATGTGGTATTTGACTACTTACCAGATGAGGATGAGATTCCATGTTGATAAATATAAACTTCGGAATAAAAAAAGACAGCCAATTCAAGATAAATTGATAAAAATATCAAGATATTTTTGAAACAATAACACGATTTATACACGAGGCCTGACGAGGCTAAAGTATGCCCGTTCGCAGGTTAGATCAGCGGGCACGATGTAAACAATTGATATAAACGAATCGTTGATTGGCTTAAATTGGCATAAAATGGTTTAAAATATATAAGCTCGTCGCTGAATGGCTATGTGTTAACATACGGTACGGTAACAGTACGGTACGGTCACGTTTGCGATAGCAATATATCTGCTTCGCAGATACAAAAATCACTCAAGGGAAAACATAAACAAAACAAACGTGCACCAAAAAACTTTGAAAAAAATTCGTGCAGACTTTTCAATAGGGTTATATGATGCTATATATATGATATTATATGATGGTACGTCATGTTATATGATATTATATGATGCTATATCATGTTATATGATACTATATGTTATATGTTAGTAGATGTTACGCGATGTTATATGATACTATATGATGTTATATATGATAGTATATGATGCTATATGATGTTATATGATGTTATATGAATAAATATTATTGGGCAAAATCAAATAAATAAAATAAATAAAAAATAAGTATGATGCTATATGATAGTATATGATGCTATATGATGTTATATGATAGTATATGATGTTATATGATGTTATATGATGTTATATGATGCTACATGATAATAAATGATGCTATATGATGTTATATGATGGTATATGATGCTATATGATGGTATATGATGCTATATGATGCTGTATGATGTTATATGATGTTATATGTTATATGATGCTATACGATGCTATATGACCAAAGTAAAATATATTGTTCCACTTCGTTGCTATGCAAATGTAGATACTTCCAAACGCTTAAAAATCACAGACGATTTACGAAACAGCTGTTTTTTAAAGTATATTAAATCATCATTTTAAAAATGCCACCGCGACCTCGCAAGCAATTGGACTCGAAAAGGATCGAGGATTCACTTCGAGCAAACATTTTGCCATTGGTAAGTTTATTGAGCAAACTTAATTCATTGTAGTGGCCCTGTGGTCAATAGTAGCATGTTATGCAGCTGAATTCACGGCAATTCATGCAGTCAATTTATTAAATTCGTCTAGATCACCGAACAGTTGGAAGCGGTAGCATGCCGTGCTGTTTGGAGAGTTCGTGAAACAAACATTGACATCGCAAGAAATCAGATCGCTTCAAAGCGACTTCGCCTTGACCAAGTGGTTTCTTCAATGAACGGCGTTCAATTCTTTTTTTCCTGCGTTACAAGTGTCATGTGCAACGCAAAATCCGCGAAAGACGACGACAACGAAACAAGTTACACGCCTGAAAGCTACCCAGCGATTGCCTACTTCGTCGTGTACAAGGAATGCGCAACTTGCAACGAGAAGATCTTGTTTTCCACCATTCACAACGAAGAATTAGAAGCAGAGGTATCGCGAATTCGAGCGCGAAAATCATCCGATAGCAATAATGAAATGGAAAAAGCTGCAAAACAGTTATTCCAAGTGGTCAAGGATCACAGCAACAACACCATCCAGGAGATGCTCCAAATATCAAACGCGTATTGCTACAAGAATTCCGAGGGAACGCCGTCAGATGATGATGAAGAGGATGATCAACCCGAGTTTGTTTCAACTCATTTCCCCAATGTCCCCTGCTGTATAATCGTC